ATATCTACAACGGGCACAGTAAAGACGTTTACAGTAGACAGTAAGTCTTTCTACGACAGACCAACGGACCACGAGTGCCCCTGTCGGTCAACCAATCACGCACCGCGGTATCGCGTGTCATCTTACCTGCGGTATCTGTACTGCGGTGTCTGTACCGCGCACTTTGAATGGCTGCATCTGTAAGTATACTTCCATCAGCACTTAAGAACATCTACTCCATTATCTCTAGCATGTATTTATCTAGGAGCATCTCCCAGTGATCCTCTTTCCGCTAATGAAAAGTCACAAACTTTCTTGTAACTGTTTTCTGTGTAATCTGCAAGAAGTTCTTGAAAAGTCTGGATTTACTGCTGAGTCATTTTGGCTCAGCATTAACAATGCTGAGGTGTCTGGCTGGTCCTTTCAGATTGAAGCTGTCTCCTACAGCAGCTCATCAATGCATTCCTATCTCATTAAGCAAATTGGCCGTAGTCACCTGAGTTTACCTCGGTTACATACAGTAAACCTACACAGATACCCTTAAACAAACACTCCTTCAGCTTTCTATCTAACTGCTACAATGATCTACAGTTCAAGCAATGCATCGCAAAACTCTTCCCTCACTTCTTCTATGCTTGCCATATTTCTGCTTTGGTGGTTCAGAGTACAGCTCTGATCTTTTTGAGTGGTCCTAGTTTATTTGTCATATGGCCAGGACATTAGCCTTCAAACATAGGGGTTAAGACAAATTTTGATTACCATTCAATTACCATTTTGACACCATATACTGTCTGTGTTTTGCAATCACTCCTGCCGTCATTTCCTCTCCTAGAACACTATAAATACTGTTAACGATCCCCTTCTCTCCCTCGCATACATCTTTTTGCATCTCACCTCCACCCCATTTCCACCTTTGCAGCTACCCCTTGGTCACTCATCATTCTCCATACGGGTCATAGCTGCTTTGTCCTCTGCCCAGGACATTAGCCCACAGCGAAGTAGGTTAAGCCAAATTTTAAACAACCCATTATCCTTTTGGTACACATAATTCTTAGACGTTGTTATTTCTAGTGAGCTCATTTTAAAATGTCCTTATTTGCACTGTTCACGTTTGCATGATTCTAAAAAGAAGTGCTTTTTCAGGAGTATATTGTCATGTGTCCCTAATATTTAAATATTTTTTAAATTGTTTTATTCACTAACCTCTGTTGTTCTCTTTATTTAGATGGTACATCTATTGTACAATTGTAAATTATAGCAATAACTGCATTAATGATATAGAATACCATTAGAAGTATGTAAATGTTGTATTAACTTAATCTGTTGGAAATGGAATATTAATTTAGATTCATATTTTTGATACTTTTTTAATTAAGTTTGTTTACTAATCAACTTTAAGTGTTTTAAGTTTCTTTGTGTTGGTTAGCATGACAAATATTGATAAACCTTGATGCAAACACAAAGTGCAAAGTTTAATAATGAAACAGGAAACTGCACTTATACAC